GCTCTTGTTACCCAGGCTGGAGTGCAATGGCACGATCTCGGCTCACCGCAACCTCCGCCTCCCAGGTTCAGGCAATTCTCCTGCCTCAGCCTCCTGAGTCGCTGGGATTACAGGCACACGCCACCATGCCCAGCTAATTTTTTGTATTTTTAGTAGAGAGGGGGTTTCACCATGTTGACCAGGATAGTCTCGATCTCTTGACCTCGTGATCCACCCGCCTCGGCCTCCCACAGTGCTGGGATTACAGGCTTGAGCCACCGCGCCCGGCCAACAGAAAGCAATTTTAGATGGAAAATTCAAGAAGGAACAATGAGAAAAGAAAAAGATAAAAAGAGAATAAATCTAAACAAACATTACATATTGGAGAGACAAAAAACAGAACTGAAATACACAGCACCGGTAGCATAGATGTCAGGAGGGATGACTGAAATGTGAGTGTTCGGAGGGCTCCGGATTACTCAGGAGAAAAGTAAAGATACGAATTTTACATTTGATGAACAACATATGCACTTAAAATTTCTACAGAAACCACCAGAGAAATAGAAATAGAGAATATTCTAGTACTTTCAACTTAGTAGTGGAAAAAGTGGAATAAAAATTCAATCAATTCAAGGCCGGGTGCAGTGGCTCACACCTGTAATTCCAGCACTTTGGGAGGCTGAGGCAGGCAGATCAGGAGGACAGGAGATAGAGACCATCCTGGCCAACATGGTGAAACCCCATATCTACTAAAAATACAAAAAATTAGCTGGGTGTGGTGGCGCACGCCTGTAGTCCCAGCTACTCAGGAGGCTGAGGCAGGAGAATTGCTTGAACCCAGGAGGCGGAGGTTGCAGTGAGCTGAGATCGTGCCACTGTACTACAGTTTGCAACAGTGCGAGACTCCACCTCAAAAAAAAAAAAAAAAAATTCAATCAATTCAAAAAATAAAGGAAACAGGAAAAAATGGGACAAATAAAAAGCACAAAGATGAAAGAAATAAATCCAAACATAATAATTAAGGCGACGCTCAGTGGCTCATGCCTATAATCCTAACACTTTGGAAATACACGCCATCTGGATCTCTTGAGACCAGGAGTTTGAGACCAGCCTGGGCAACGCAGCGAGACCCACTCTACAAATATTTTTTATTTTAAGTTAGCTGAGTATGGTGGTGCACACCTGCAGTCCTAGCTACTCAGGAGGCTGAGTTAAGAGGATGGCTTGAATCCAGGAATTCAGCTTTACAGTGAGCTGATCATGGCACTACACTCCAACCTGGATGACAGAGTGAGACTTTGCCTCTAAAATAATAATAATAATAAAGTAGTATAAATATTCTACTTAAAAAACAAAAATTGTCAGACTGGTTTAGCTTTTCTATCAGCTATATGCTCCTTATAAGAGGTCACATAAAATACAGAGATACAGAAAAGTTGAAAGTGTAAGGATTGAAAAAGACTCCAAGGTAAAGTTTTTGTAACTGAAGGGACAGTAACATTATAAACTGAGAGAAGGACTAGAAAGAAAAGTAGAATTGGTGAAGAGGTGAGAGGAAAACAACAACTCCTCCTTTAGATTTTGTGAGTTTTAGGCACTAGTAGAGTTTCCAGATGAAGAAATCCAGCAAGTAGTTGGAAATTCAAATGGAAGGAGTAAGAAACCAAGGACACAGATAAAAAAGATAATAGACAAAAGTATGCATATAGAGGATTCATTCAGCATTTGTTGAGCCCTTAACATGTACCAGACAACATGCCAGAAGTTGGAAATGTGAAAATAGTAAGAGAGGCCCATGTCATCAAGGAGCTCACAGTCTAACAGATGGGAAAACAGTAACAATACAATAGAAATAAATGGATATGCACAGCACAGAGGCTATAACTACCCACAACTCCTGACTCTGCCTGGGGGAGTTAAGAACATCCTCAGACAAGATGTAATATTTTTTTTAATTGAGATGGTATCTCACTGTGTTGCCCAGGCTGGTCTTGAACTCCTGGGCTCAAGCAATCCTCCCACCTTGGCCTCCCAAAGTGCTGGAAGAAAGAAATATTTTAAAGTAAATTTTAAATTTAAAAAACTTTTTAGCCAAATCAGTAAATTTTCAAGTTTAAAATATATTTTTTTTTTAATGTACACTTTGGGAGGCTGAAGCAAGTGGATCGCTTGACCCCAGGAGTTTGAGACCAACATGGGCAACATGGAGAGACCTCATCTCCACAAAAAATACAAAAATTAGCCAAGCATGGTGGTGCACACCTGTATTCCCAGCTACTCAGGAGGCTGAGGTAGAAGGATCACTTGAGCCTGGGAGGTCAAGGCTGAAGGTAGCCGACAATGCCACTGCACTCCCGCATAGGTGACAGAGCAGGACCCTGTCTCAAAAAAAAAAATTAACATCCTGCAACCCACGCAAAACAAGGTTTTACTTTAGAGATAGGGTCTCACTGTGTTGTCCAGGCTGGAGTACAGTGGCTATTCACAGGTGCCATCATAACCCACTGTAGCCTCAAACTCCTGCTCAAGTGATGTTCCTACCTCGGCCTCTCAAGTAGCTGGAACTACAGACGTGTAGCCACTACACCCAGCCAAATGAAGCAATTTCATTGCCACTTTGCAACTCCTAGAGTGAGGAGCTATTTAGGAGATCCAATCACCAGGATCTACTGAATCATAAAACCAAGGGAGAAGGAGAAGAAAGGAATCAAAGAGGAGTTGAATAATATCTACACAAAATAGAACTTAAAAAGAGAATTTATTAATGATTGCCAAAAACTGAAAACAACCAAGATGCCCTTCAATAGGTGAATGATAAACTGTGGCACATACATACAATGGAATATTATGCAGCAAGAAAAAAATTAGCTGTCAGCCTCCGCGCAGTGGCTCATACATGTAATTCCAGCACTTTGGGAGGCTGAGGCAAGAGGATCACTTGAGCCCAGGAGTTCAGTGCTGCAGTGAGCTATGATTGCACCACTGCACTTCAACCTGATCAACGGAGTGAGACCTCTATCTCAACAAAACAAAACAAACAACAACAAAATAAAAAACAGAAATGAGCTATTGAGCCATGAAAAGACATGGAAAACAGGTCTGGTGGCTCATGCCTGTAATCCCAACACTTTGGGAGGCCAAGGTAGGAGGATCAGTTGAGCCCAGGAGTTCAAGACCAGCCTGAATGACATAGTGTGACAATGCCTCTAGAAAAAAATTAAAAATTAGCTGGGCATAGTGGTGTGTACCTGTAGTCTCAGCTACTTGGGAGGTGGAGGTGGGAGGATCACTTGAACCCAGGAGAGTGAGGCTGCAGTGAACTGTGATCAGGCCACTGCACTCAGGCCTGGGAAACAGAGCAAGACCCTGTCTCAAAAAAAAAAAAAAAAAAAAAAAAAAGGTGAGACATGAAGGAATCTTAAATGCATATTGCTAAATGAAAGAATTTAGTCTAAAAGACTACATATAATATTATTCCTGCCAGGCGTGATGGCTCACGCCTGTAATCCCAGAACTTTGGGAGGCAGAGACAGGCAGATCACCTGATGTCAAGAGTTTGAGAGCAGCCTGGCCAACACAATGAAACCCCATATCTACTAAAAATACAAAAATTAGCCAGGCGTGGTGGTGCATGCCTGTAGTCCCAGCTCCTCAGGAGTCTGAGGCAGGAGAATTGCTTGAACTCGGGAGGCAGAGGTTGCAGTGAGCTGAGATGGCACCACTGCACTCCAGCTTGGGCGACAAGAGCAAAACTCTGTCTCAAAAAAAACAACAATTCCAACTATATGACAACTGAAAATGGACAAATTATGGAGATAGTAAAAAGAGCAGTGATTGCCAGGAATGTGGGGAGTGATGAATACGTAAAGCACAGAGGACTTTTAGGGAACTGAAACTATTCTATGTAATACAATAACGGTGGATAGCTGTCATTACACATTTGTCCAAACCCACAGAACTATATAATACAAAGTTAACCCTAATGTAAACTATGGACTTTAGTTAACGATAACATATCAAGATTAGCTCATCAGTTGTAACAAGTGTACCACACCAATGAAAGATGTCAATAATAGGGAAAACTGGGCTGGCGCGGTGGCTCACACCTATAATCCCAACACTTTGGGAGGCTGAGGCAGGAGGATTGCCTGAGGTTGGGAGTTCAAGACCAGCCTGGCTAACATTGTGAAATCCCGCCTCCACTAAAAATACAAAAATTAGCCAGGCATGGTGGTACACACTGGTAATCCCAGCTACTTGGGAGGCTGAGTCATGAGAATTGCTTGAACCTCAGAGGCAGAGGTCGCAGTGAGCCAAGATTTTACCACTGCCTTCCAGTCTTGGTGACAGAGTAAAACTCTGTCTCAAAAAGAAAAAAATGGAAAACTGTTGAAGAGGTATATAGCACTTTGAGATGTCAAGGTGGGAGGATCACCTGAGGTCCAGAGTTCAAGACCAGCCTGACCAACATGGAGAAACCCCCATCTCTATCAAAAATACAAAATTAGCTGGGCATGGTGGTACATGCCTGTAATCCCAGCTACTGAAGAGGAGGCCGAGGCGGGTGGATCACGAGGTCAAGAGTTCAAGACCATCCTGGTCAACATGGTGAAACCCCGTCTCTACTAAAACTACAAAAAAATTAGCTGGGCATGGTGGTGCGTGCCTGTAGTCCCAGCTACTCAGGAGGCTGAGGCAGGGGAATTGCCTGAACTCAGGAGGCGGAGGTTGCGGTGAGCCGAGATCGCGCCATTGCACTCCAGCCTGGGTAACAAGAGCGAAACTCCATCTCAAAAAAAAAAAAAAATAGCCAGGCATGGTGGCAATTACCCCTAATCCCAGCTACTCGAGAGGCTGAGGCAAGAGGATCTCTTGAGCCCAAGAGATCAAGGCTGCAGTGAGCTATGATCATGCCACCATACTCCAACTCTTCAAAGATTACATTTATAAATACTCTACTTGCAATATGAGATAATAGCTTCAAATCTATTCAGCTCATTTTTCAAAATAAATATTAAGGAAATGAAACACCACAAAAGATCTCAACAGTCCTTCAAATGACAAGGCCGGCCTTCTAAGCCCAGCTTTTGATATACACAGTCAGCCCTTCATATCCATGAATTCAATCAACCATGGATTAAAAAAACATTTTTAATTTGCATCTATATTGAACATATACAGACTTTTTTCCTTGTCATTATTTCCTAAACCAGGGGTCTCCGGTGCCTGAGCCACAGACTGGTACCAGCCCATGGCCTGTTAGGAACCAGGCCATACAGCAGGTGAGTGCAGGCAAGCGAGCAAAGCTTCATCTGTATTTACAGCCGCTCCCCATCACAGGCATTACTGCCTGAGCTCTGCCTTCTGTCAGATCAGTGGCAGCAGCAGATTCTCATAGGAGCACAAACCCTATTGTGAACTGCACATACCAGGGATCTACGTTACATGCTCCTTATCAGAATGTAATGGCTGATGATCTGTCACTGTCTCTCATCACCCCCAGATGGAGCTGTCCAGATGCAGGAAAACAAGCTCGGGGCCCCCACTGATTCTACATTATAAGTGAGTTGTATAATTATTTCATTACATATTAAAATGTAATAATATAAATGAAGTGCACAACAAATGTAATGAACTTGAATCATCCCAAAACCATCCCCACCCACTGTCCATGGAAAAACTGTCTTCCACGAAACTGGTCCGTGGTACCAAAAAGGCTGGGGATGGCTGCCCTAAACAATACAGTATAACGATTATTTATGTATCATTTACATAGTATTTAGTATTTTATGTAACCCAGGGATGATTTAAAGTATCCATTACCTTAAAGGAAGTGCCTAGATTGTAACTAAATATTACACTATTTTATATAAGGGATTTGAGCATCCTCAGATTTTAGTATCCACAAGCAGTCCTTGAACCAATCCCCGACAGACACCAAGGAACAACTGTATATATATCCTTAGCATCTTCATGCCTAAGTAAATGAAAGGAGAAAATATTTCATACCTCTGTCCCCCACATGCTCCTTCACCCACTGGGTAGCTGCAGCGATGCTCTCCGTCTTGGTAATATCCAGAGTCACTGTCTCCAGCCTGTCAGATGTCTGGCGCCTCAGCTGCTCAGCTCCTTTCTCCGTCAGACACGCAGCCAGCACTCTCAAGCCTCGTGCATCCAGCTGTCTGGCCAGCAGGTTCCCAAAGCCCGAGTCACAGCCCGTGATAAAGACAAACTTGTCTCTCAGGTGACTCACCACCTGCCTCTCCCGGTACCAGCGCAGAAGGTAGTACAGGCCCACGAAGGCCACCAGGTAGAGCCACATGGTGAGGGTGCGTCCTTCTCTTTTAAGAGAAAGAAAATATCTTTCATTTTATTCCTTCCATTTTCTTTAACCAATATATCTGTTTAGTATTCGCCATGTGCCAGGCATTGCAATAGGTGATAGGGACTCTTTTTTGACTAATACTTGGTCCTACCCTCAAGGAGCCACGGTCTAGAGAAGTAAGTTAGTGAGGTAACCAAACAAATCCAACGCAGTGTGAAAGGTGCCCTAACAGAAGTGTACACGCAGTCTACAAAGGAATATGACCGATAGCCTACCACAGAAGCAATGATTTTGGTACTACTTCCTACAGGATAGGTAAGTTCAAAAAGTGGACAAGGATGACCACATTCCAGGCAGTAACAACGTGTACATGAAGGGAGTTGTGAGCAGCACAAAACTTCTTGAGACCTATAAGCAATTCTGCATGGGTGCAATGCAGAACATACAGAGGAAGAGACTGGAGATGAAGTGGCAAAGGGCCAAATCTTGAAGGGCCTTGTAAGCCACACTATGGAATCTGAATGTTATCCTATGGACAGAATATGCTACTAAAAGACATTAAACCGTAGAGTCAGGTGGCCAGATTAAGTTTTAGAAAGATCTGTCTCACAGTAGCAGTAGAGGATAGATGAAATGGGTGTGGTGAAGGCAGGGAGATCCATTAGGAGATCCAATAGTTTGGGTGAGATATTTCGGCCAAAGCAGTTTGTAAATCTAGACTAATCAGAAACATTGTTGAAATGGGTGTTCACAGATGCCTATGTTTCTATATGAAATTCTGGAGAAAAGTTCACCATTTTTTGGTAATCCATACATGTTGGCAGAACTAACATCATTCATGACAATATAGGTAGGGCTTAAAGATGGGTGTGGGCCCACTAGCATCATATGGCCTATACCACAATGCCTGCATGAGGTGAGTCTACGCAATTCAAACTCTTTAGTTTGACATGAATGTCCCAGCACTCTGGATACTGGCTTAGGCTTCTCTCTTGCATCCTACTCTTTAGCCATAACAAACAACTTTCAGTCCCCTGCAAAGCACAGACTTTTTATGCCTCTGCACACAATTCTTTCTACTTGAAAGAAGCAGCCCTCATCTACTTGGTAAATAACAGTCATCTTTTTTTTTTTCCTTTTTGAGACAGAGTTTCACTCTTTTTGCGCAGGCTGGAGTGTAATGGCACAATGTCAGCTCACTGCAACCTCCACCTCACAGGTTCAAGTGATTCTCCTGCCTCAGCCTCCTGAGTAGCTGGGATTACAAGTATATGCCAGCCACACCTGGCTAATTTTGTATTTTTAGTAGAGACAAGGTTTCACCATATTGGCCAGGCTGGTCTTGAACTTCTGACCTCAGGTGATCCACCCACCTTGGCCTCTCAAAGTGCTGGGATTACAGGCACGAGCCAGCCATAATGTTCATCTTTTAAGACTCAGCCTAATCATCAATTTCATTCAGCAAACATTAATTCAACATCTACTTGAGTTAGACACAGTGTTAGGCACTGATACACAACAGTGAACAATATATAGTTCATTCCTTATTGAATTCACAGTCTCATGAAGACTAACAACAATGCATCATAACAGAAGTAAAAACAGGAAGCTGCTGGAACACTCAGGAGAGGCTTCTAAGTCATTCTAGAGAGGTCTGAGAAGCTTCCTAGAGAGAAAAAAATGTAAGTTGAAATCTACAAATATATTAGTCCACTTTCACACACCTATAAAGATACTATCCAAGGCCAGGCATGGTGGCTCATGCCTGTAACCCCAGCACTTTGGGAGCTGAGGCGGGTGGGTCATAAGGTCAAGAAATCGAGACCATCCTGGCCAACATGGTGAATCCCTGTCTCTACTAAAAATACAAAAATTATCTTGGAATGGTGGTGCATGCCTATAGTCTCAGCTACTCAGGAGACAGAGCCAGGAGAATTGCTTGAACCCAGGAGGCGGAGATTGCAGTGAGCCAAGATCGAGCCACTGCACTCCAACCTAGGCAACGGTTTTTTTCTGAGACTGTCTCAGAAAAAAAAAGCTAACCCTTTCTAAGCACTTGCTGTGTATCAGGCTCTGTTCTAAGATGTTACATATATTAACTTTTTGAATTCTCACAAGACCCCTACAAGACAGGTCCCATCGTTACTCCTGTGTGTCACTTCAGATGCCACGACAAAATTAGACATGCAAGAAATTCTGGGAGAAACACCCTCAGAGGACAAAGGGGGAGGGCACAGGAATAGGTGGTAATGCAAATCTGACACCTCTAAAAGGAGAGGGGAACAGAAGAAGTAGGTAGGAAGAGATTTAAACTGAAGTGGAGCCCCAAGAAAGTCTCAGCCAGGTCCATGGGGAGTCCTTGAGCAAAGACTGCCACTTGAGAAGTCCCACAATGGGCAGAACTGACCCAGCTCCAGTACTGCCATCCTGCTGGTCATTGGCTGACCAGTGCCCAAGAGGAGCGTGCCTCAGTACAAATACCACGGCAGATCAGAGGTTACAGCAACTGGAGGCTGCAAGTCAACCTTGCTCCTTACAGCAGATTCTCTCGAGCAATGTGAGCAGTGCACCTCCATGGCTACCACATTGTTTCATAGTGTGAGCACTGAGAGATTACATACAATACTAGGCAGGGGGGATGAGAATGGTCCAGGCAAGAGACTTTCCTGCCCTCTCTTAACCTGCCCCATGGTCTAATAGAATTGACAGTAGCCTCCTTGGTGTCCCTATTGTGGCCTAGGTTTATCGTGATGCCTGCTGCACTTCATTGCACTGCTTTTCCCCATTTTTAGACTATACGGCCCTTGAGAGCCCAGGTTACATGTTAGTCTGCCCCTGGTGCCCTGTGAATGGCACATAGCAGTACTTAGTAAATGTTAGAAAAATTAAGTAATGCCAAATGAAAATGTCCTGAGAAAAAACAGAGTGGAAAAAAAGCAAGGAGAATGAGCCAGAGAAGTAGGAAAAAGAAAGCTGATGAAGCTAAGAGAAGAGGAGCTTAATAAGGATCAGCAATGCAACCGGGAGGTCTGCTGAGTATGAGGAGGGCACTGGTGCTCTTAACAGGAAGACTCAGAGAGCGAAGGGCACAGACACCAATCTTCAGTGGACTGCTGCATTAATTGGAGGGCAGTAAGTGGAGCCGAGTGGAGACTCTTTTTCAAAAGCCTGGTCTGGGAAGGAGGGGAGAGAAGGCAGTAGCGAGAGGGCAATTTAGGGATAGGCGAGTAAAATGGAAGGAGACAGTGAGGAGGAGAAAGCAGTGGAGAGAGGCATCTATTGCTCCTCCCTCCCCCTCCATCTTCTCTTTCTCTCCATTTCCCCTCTTCCCCCGCTCTCTCCTTCCTTCTCTGAAGCCCTCTGCCTCTCTGCAATCTGAGAGCTCTGTGTTCTCTGGCCAGCTGCCTCTGTTCTGCCCAGTTGGCATTCCCGGTGCACCACAGTAACAGAGAGAGCTTCATCCTGTCTGTTTATTGACTAAAAGGCAATTTTCTGTTCCCAAAGATGAAAACCTACCTCCCCTGCTAGGGAGAAGCTCGGCCCTCACAGCCTCCCTGGGCTTTACTATTCAGCCATCGCATGCCTAGCAGCAAGAATACCTGCAGAAGAGATACACCTGGCAGAATCCCAAACCCTAGGCCAAACCTGAATGTGCCTCGAATATTTCAAATATGAAACTCAAAGTGGCCTGTTTGCTTTTACAAACAAACCATTCATCTGCAAAAGCTGTGCAATTACTTTACGTTTTTGTCTTTGACTCAGATTATTTATACAGTTCTTAAACTGCTATTTCTTGATCAATTTTTGACATTCTCAACTAACTTCCTGCTATGGCAAAAAAGAATTCAGCTTTCTTACACCATATTGTCAGCCTCTTCCTTTCTCATCTACACTGTGCTGTCTGGTTAATTTTCTTTAATGAGTTTTGAGGCTGTGCCTGGAAAAAATCTTCATAATCACACATGCATAGGTTAAGAACTTCCACTGTTTATTTCAGGCCTGCCCCATCTTGGGCTTCATCATTGCTTGAAGCTACTACTCTCCCACAAAGATCTTGAAAAGCTAGGCCAGGCATGGTGGCTCACGCCTGTAATCCCAGCACTTGGGGAAGCTGAGGCAGGCAGATCACCTGAAGTCAGGAGTTCGAGACCAGCCTGGACTACATGACTAAGCCCCATCTCTACTAAAAATACAAAAATTAGCTGGGTGTGGTGGCAGTGCCTACAGTCCCAGCTACCTGGGAGGCTGAGGCACAAAAATTACTTGAACCTGGGAAATGGAGGTTGCAGTAAGCCAAGATTATGCCACTGCACTCCAGCCTAAGTGAGAGAGTAAGACTCTGCCTCAGAAAAAAAAAAAAAAAAATCCCAAAAAGCTGAAACTGCCCTCTCTGCACAGCCCCATCCTATCTTTGGGGCTCTTCCGCTCCCCACTATCTCCCCACTACCTGTCTGTTTCTTCTCTGCCTTCCTTTTCCTTAAACTCTATTACTGCAATCCTCTCACAGTTTCATTCACCTCCTTATTCTGCATAGGTCTCATAGTTGGCTATTTTAGGGTGCTTCACTACCACTCCAAAGCCTATGTTCTCTAGCTGCCAGCTGCCAAGTGGTGCTAGAGAAAGAGCATAAAACAAACTAACCATTTATATAACAAATCAATGCTATCCTGTCTCAGCTGGGCCCTCCCTGATACAAGGCAAGCCTTCTGTTTGCCTCCATTTGACTCCTCCCTTATTATTTCCCAACAACACCTGTTCCAAATCTTTACCAACCTTCAAATTTTCTTCAATGTTTAACTAGTTCTCCTTCCACAGATGAGCATACATGTTGCTTCCCTGCCAAAACCCACCAGATAAAGCTCAACCTGGACACTCTAATTCATACCCACAACATTTTGCCTGTTATCTCAGAGGTTTCCAGGACCCACTGAGGGTACCTCTGCTCTAAATGTCTCTATATTATTCTCTATCCTCTTTCTTTTTTCTTCCTCCCTAAGACCATCCTAACCTGCCACCCCTTTAATAACCATCCTCTCTCTTCCCCATATGGCCAAAATATTCAAAGAGCAAGCACAGGCCCTCTATTTTCTTACCACCCACGAGCTCCTTGCACTTCACCTTCTATTCCCATCACCCTCTGAAAACTCTCTCACAGCTCACCAAGGCCCTATTAGCAGGCAGTTCCCAAGGCCTCCTCTCTCTTCTCCTCAGACTTCACTGTGATACTTAGCACTTTCCTTTTTCTTATGATTTTTTTCTGATTCTTAGATTCTAACCTGGCCTTTGGTGAAAAAGGAGATTCTTTCAGATCATGCCATGCCCTTACTGGATTCTGTCTGTAACTCCCTGTCATCCATAGGATAAAGTCAGAACTGTCCAGCTTGTACACATAATAATAACAGTGAACAGTTATAGAGAACTTTCCATGCCAGGCACTGTTTGAAACCATACACACACACACACACACAATAGAGGGTATATGCAATTATTATGCCCATTTTTCACACGAGGAAACTGAAGCACAGATTAAGGCAAAAATTAAGTGATTTTTCCAAGGTGAAACAGAATGAATAGCAGAGACAGGATCAAATCCAGAGTGTTCACCTGCAGAAGCCTTGCATCTAACCACTACACTACACTGCCTTTCCCTGGAAGGCTTTTCATGGTCAGGCGGTGGCCTGTCCCTCGGCTCCTGTCTCTCACAGCCAGAAGCCATGCTTTAATCCTTCTGACTACCCAATTTGAAGAACACGGTCCTCCCTTCAGTTCTGAGATGCTCTACTCCCGTTCTCCTGTAGTAGTCACACACAGTGTCCCTTCCCCTTCTCCCCTCCCAGCTCTCCCTCTCCCTTCTATACCCTAAATGCAAGGACTCCCCAATGTGTCTTGATTGGCCTATTACAGAAGCTTTCTCACTAACCCCACAGTGTCACTCTCACTTCCCCTCCCCTCCACATAGGGCTGTCTGGTTAATTTCCCTAAAGCACAGCTCTGCCGATGTCATTCCCTGAATAATATTCAACCTACTGAAAATCTAAATCTAAAACCTTAGTTGTAAAAGGCTCTCTGTAACTGGATATTGACCTTTTCTCCCCCTCCTCTTTCCCACACTGCCTATGTTCCATCGAAACCAAAGAGCTTTAAAATGAAGGAAGTATGGGCCAGGCGCAATGGCTCACGCCTGTAATCCCAGCACTTTGGGAGGCCAAGGCGGGCAGATCACGAGGTCAAGAGATCGAGACCATCCTGGCCAACATGGTGAAACTCATCTCTACTAAAAAATACAAAAATTAGCTGGGTGTGGTGGCACGTGCCTGTAGTCCCAGCTACTCAGAAGGCTGAGACAGGAGAATTGCTCGACCCTGGGAGGCAGAGGTTGCAGTGAGCCGAGATCGCACCACTGTACTCCAGCCTGGCGCCTGGCGACAGAAAGAGACTCTGTCTCAAAAAAAAAAAACTGAAGGAAGTATGATTTGCTGAGCCTTGGAGGACAGGTGCTATCTGACAGGTGGTATCTGAACAAAGGCATTTCAGGCTAAGAGAAAAGTGAGAGCAAAGACCTGGAACATGGAAAGTACAGAGCACTAATAAATGGTGATACCAGCAAGACTACTCTAAATGATTCCCTAACTACCTTTCCTTTTCTTTCTTTCCGAGAACCTCTCTGCATGAGCTTCCCTGCCCCAACTCTGATTTTGTGGATGGTGTAGAATCATGAGGCTGGACCCAGTGGCTCATACTTGTAATGCCAATACTTTGGAAGGCCAAGGCAGGAGAATTGCTTGAGGAGTTCAAGACCAGCCTCGGCAACATGGCGAAATCCCATCTGTACGAAAAATACAAAAGTTAGGCAGGCATTGTGGGGTGTGCCTGTAGTCCCAGCTACTCCGAAGGCTGATGCGGAGGGGAATTACTTGAGCCTGGGATGTTGAGGTTTCAGTGAGCCGTGATTGCACTACTGTACTCTATCCTGGGCAACAGAGCAAGACCCTGTTTGGAAAAATTAATAAATAATAAAAAGAAGGGATAAAAAGGGGTTTTTTTAGTGTTTGTTCGTTTGTTTGTTTTGACATGGAGTCTCACTCTGTCGCCAGGCTGGAGTGCAGTAGTATGATCTTGGCTCACTGCAACCTTCACCTCCTGCGTTCCAGCGATCCTCCTACCTCAGACACCTGAGTAGCTGGGACTACAGGCGCACACCACCATGCCAGGCTAATTTTTGTATTTTTTAGTAGAGACAGGGTTTCACCACATTGGCCAGGCTGGTCTCGAACTCCTGACCTTTGTGATCCATCTGCCTTGGCCTCCCAAAGTGCTAGGATCACAGATGTGAGCCAGCATGCCTGGCCTAAAAAATATTTTTTAGCCGGGCGCGGTGGCTCACGCTTGTAATCCCAGCACTTTGGGAGGCCGAGGTGGGTGGATCACGAGGTCAAGAGATCGAGACCATCCTGGTCAACATGGTGAAACCCCGTCTCTACTAAAACTACAAAACATTAGCTGGGCATGGTGGTGCGTGCCTGTAATCCCAGCTACGCAGGAGGCTGAGGCAGGAGAATTGCTTGAACCCAGGAGGCGGAGGTTGCGGTGAGCCGAGATCACGCCATTGCACTCCAGCCTGGGTAACAAGAGCGAAACTCCGTCTCAA